GACAAGGGGCAATGGGCACAAACTGAAGCATAAGAGGTTTCAATTGAATATGAGGAAGAACTTCTTTACTTTGAGGGTAACAGAGCACTGGAAAAGGCTGCCCAGGGGGGTTGTGGAGTTTCCTTCTCTGGAGATATTCAAAACCTGCCTGGATGGTGTCCTGTGCAACCTGCTCTAGGTGAACCTGCTTTAGCAGGAGGGTTGGACTGGATGATCTCCTGAGGTCCCTTCCAACCCCCGCCATTCTGTGATTATGTGAGCATTTTTTGTCCATAAACTTATGTATATTAACTTTAATTATATTATATTCCTCTATTTCTTTTTCAGTGGCAACATCTGTTCCCTTTTCAGAAATTGACACAACATTGTCTTAAAGCCTTCTGGAACTTCTCCACTGCCCCGACTCCTACCAAAAATCACCCTTCACCATCCAGAGAGCCCTGAGACTCTAAGTTCCTGAAGAAAGACCTGTGTGGAATTAAACGATCCAAACACAGAATAGAGATCCCCGTCTCTCTGTGTTTCATTTAATGACTGTCTAACCACAGAGGCACATAAACTTACCTGGCATTTCTATCTTTAACCATAAATCTCTATAAGCACTTAGACCTCTGCTTCTGAACAGATCCCAGTCTCAGAAAAGTTGTGCCCATCTTTCCTAAGCCTGTTTAGAATCTCAGCACTAGGGATAAAGTAAAACTATGCAGTTAAGTGCCCAGTGAGCGATACAGTCACTTTGGTTTTGGTATCAGTCTTCTACAGTTGTCTATGTTCTCTTTTCCTCACCAGCAACTTCCTCTCTCTTCAGTTTGCTATACATATGTATACAGAGATACATGTGTCATAATTATACTTTTAGATGCCAACATATTCTCTTCAAGACACAATACTATTACTGGGGGGTTTAAACCACTGTGGCCTTATTTCTGCATTATGGCACTTTGGGGTTTTGGAATTGTGGTAAAATATTCCTAAACAGCCAGAGATTTTCAACCACAGATAGAGATTCTGAGGAAACTTGACAGCTGATTTTTTCATATTTAGATGCACCACTGCCAGAGAAGGAGAAGGAAAATAACTGGTATCTTTAATGGCACAAAATACTGCTTTTTATGACCATGCAGTTTAAGAAGGCCTCTTGGAAAAATCTTGCATGCGATATATTTAAAACAACTGCTGGAGCTTTAGGAGAATATTAACATGAAGTGCAGAAAAAGAAGGAAGTTTTGGTCTATATAACTTCTACTTGATAGAATTCTGTGCTATGTGATCACCACTGAAAGCCAACACTCAAAGACAATGGTTACAGTTTTACCACGGTTTCCCCAAGAATCAGATTTTGGCCTTAAAGCCAGATGTTGAGATCCTGTGATGGTGCACTCCCTGTGCATAGAAAAAGCCCAGCATTTGGAGGATGAAGAAGGACCTCTGTTCATGCAACATCACCCCCAAAAGAAGACGTGGTCTGCTATGTAGGAGGCACACAGTGGGTACCGGGTATGCTGCGGTCCCAGGTGAACCATCTCTTCCTATAACTGTTCATGGGGTGCAGATGTGGCTGGCATAGCTTCTTTCTCCAAAACAAGAACAGAGTCTTGACCTCAAGGATTCATGGGCAGGACTGTCTGAAAATCAATTCATGTCATAGTCAAGGTAGCTGGAGAGATATGAAGGCTCCTAGAGCAAATCTCAGCATTACCCCTCAGAGTCAAACAGACTCCAAGTCCTATGGGCAGGTTTTTCATGTCACTGATGGATAGCTGGCAGCTTGTTGGCAGCTCACAAGGGGGTCCCACCCTAACCATAAATGCTGCCAGTGCCTCTGCTCTCATCCTGGCAGACTCATCCCCATCCTTTCAGTACTTTCAGGCTATTCAGAAATCTGATTGTATAAAACACATCAATATAATAATAGCTTATTCTTACTCCATGCACAATTTCAATCACAGATTACAAAAAAGTCTTACTATTTTGTGGTTCTCCTGCTTTCTTCTTGGTGGCCGAGACATGTTGCTTGTGTACCACCTGACGTACTTGATTGTCAGTTTATGTCTTCTCTTCCTCAAGCAGCATCGTTTTCTCTCAGACACTGTGTTTCCTCTTTCCCATCTCTAAAGTTGTCTCCTTTCTGCTCTTCTGCCTTTTGCATGAGATGTGTTTGCTGCAATCTGTAATGCTGCTGATGCTCCTCCTATTCTCTACGTGTACCGAGCCCTTTGGGAGGAAGTTGACCAGCAACAGATCTGCCCCTGTACACAACATAAATAACCGCTCCATCCATAAGAATGATTTGTAATCAAATACACAGCAAACAGCCAGAGGAAGTCAAACCAGGCAGCCCAAAGAGATTCACACGTCTTATGTTTTTAGGGACAGCAAATGCATTCTCTTGTTTCTGCCAGGTTTTGGTGTTTGCAGAGTTAACAAAAGCTCCCTCTCTGAAGAATAAAAACACAATTGCAAGGTAATGCTGCACAAGGTAATTAAAAATTTATCATTTTCAACTTAAAGGCGCTATAGTTTTCTGTCAGCTCTGACTGCTTTAGTCTGGTGAGTTCATGTCTGCCCGGGCAGGAGCAGAACGGCTTACAAGGCACTACTACCACCAAAGCTGGCAATTCAGATTGAAAGCACCCAAACTCCCAGAGGAATAAACTGTGTAGCTGTTACAGCTGCCAGCTTGTGCAAATGGCACTTCCATTAACAATGGTTCTAGGGGATCTTACATCATTCCTAAGCTATTATAGCCCCTATTTGTAAACATCCTGCCTGTGAACAGCCAGGAAGGTTTGGTTCACACCTTTTCTGTTTTTCCCTGAGTTAAATCTGGCCTATTCTGTTCGTGTAGATATGCAATAAATTTAGACTACGGTCACTAGTGAATTTAGAAATTAATCAGGTAGCCGTCTTTCCTTGTAGGACTTACCTCCACATATATTCCCACTGAGTCCTCTCAGGAAAGGAAGTTAAAATACATGGCCTCATCTGAATGCCACGCTGTTATTAAATTTCAATTAATTAATAGATTTGGTACTAGAGTAAAATTACAGGCATTTACTACTCCAGATACACAGAAAGCAGCAGATAAGAAGGGATAAGAAAGACTAATTTGCTTTAGAAAATGGTAGCTTAAAGTTACGACACAATTCAACAACAAAAAAATAGAACAGAGATAAGGATTTTCAGCTTCTTCTGTAGAAAACACAGTCATCCTGGCAGCTTTCATTTTAACACAGAACGAGCCAGTGTTGACAACTTTACAATAAAATAAGCCTCTTCCATTTTTTTCCAGGCACTTTTCTGGCCCTGTAAAATCCAACTCTATTTTATAAGTGAAACTATTGTAGGTACTTCCCATATGTAAATTTAAATAAATTATAAAAGCCAGACATTACAATTCTCTAGACAGTTACTTGCATTTCTAAATTGAATCTGAGACGGGTTGTTTCTCAGAATGTTTCCAACCAGTGACAAGCACCAAATATGTCTCTCATTGCAAGAGACATGCCATATTCCATATGAAAGTGTACTGCATTGCATTTAAAAAAACACCTCTAAAGGATTATCATTATCATAATTTAACTGCAGTGAAGCCATCACAAAGCACTTAAGGCTACCCACAAATGAACACCATTTATTTATGCAGTTCTGAATATAAGGATGAATTACTTCAGCCTGCATTGGTAATCCTGCAGTCATGAAGGAACACTGCAGATCGGACAGTGCAATACGTGGTAAGAACACATCAGCATTGTTTGGAAGATATATACGTGCACACGTGTATAGATGTAAATTCACACATATAATATGATGCATGAGGTAGACTGTACTACATTTTGAAAGGTTTGCACGTGATTGGGAAAATGAAGCTGAAATGGTGTGTCCAAATAAACTGGGGATTCAGTGGTTCCAGCGAGGGAAACAAGTCGATGGTGGATGGTGTCCACATCTTCAGGAACACAATAAAACCACCTTCAACTGTCGCCTGACTTACTGCCCTGCAAAAAGGTTGGCACATATCTGGCACTTGGTTTAAACCATAACATAGACTTCTCAAAAATAATCCAAGGCAATTTGAATAGTGAGGAAGTTAGCATCGCCCTCCACCTCCCTTTCTGTCACGTTTGTCAGGAGAAGATTTTAGCCTTCAGCCCTAAGAAGGCTGGTCTGGCACACTACTTGAGCGTTAGACTACACCAGTTCTCCTCATTCCCATTAAACTGAAAAAAATCCCCACAAAATATCTCCTGAAGTTCAAAAGCATGCATGAAAGTGTGCACCAGCACCCTGTCTCTTATAGCAGACTGGCTATTATGGGACAGCTGAAACCTGTAGAGCTAAGCACATGATCTCTTTAGTAGTCCAGTATCTAAGGATTCTCCCAAACATTAATATCCCAGAGCAGGGTGCAATATAAAGGTCAATAATGAATCGGGTGTCAAATGCCTAAAAAAATACCTAAAAAAGTTCTTTGAGCCAAAACAAGAATACACAATTAGTACAATACAGGATGAGGCTCTTGTTTGTTCTCTGTCTCCAGCTCAACAGATGTTGTGTTAAATATTTCACTCACAGAAAATTGAATTATTTCAGATCACAAGAAGGTAGGTGATGGGGGTTTGAAGGTACATGAAGAAAAAAGTACTTGAACACAGGTTTCCCACATTACAGGAAGCAATCTTCTTATGGCATATAGAACACTTTCCTCTTTCTCTCTACCTTTTCCTGGTCATTAGGTAACAAGATCCTAATCTTTTTCTGATCCGATAAATATCAAAATCCTCCCTGTGGGGGAACTAAGTGCAACTGGTAGAACTATGGCAGGAAAGCTGGAGAATGCAGCTTCTTCCCGCCAGAGTCACACCACATCACTCATAATACCTGAGCTCTTGGAAGAAAGAGATGAGTGAGTGAGTGTTGAACTAGATCAGGTGGAGAAGGGAACCGAAACCAATCTCTCCCTTCTGCCATGGCTGTTTTGTTTCAATAAAAAGCAAACAAAAGAATAAAACCTGTTTGTTTGTGTATGGGAGGATAGGTGTAACGTCTTCCAATAACCATGTTTTAAAAGAAAATGACAAACCATTCTCAGTTCTTAAAAAAAATCACTTATTCTCATAAGTGAGGTTCCTGGCAGTGAATTCAAGCTCACAGAGCCCTGCAAAATGACAAGCAAAACCATGGCTAAGGTTTCCCCATATATCCTATTTGCCTCAGACGTCAGCTATAAGCATCTCTTTGCCTCAGAGGCAAACTGGCTGTCACCTCAGGCAGTGGTATTTTGGATTGCATTCAGTCCTAACTCTTCCTGGGCATCAGATAAAGAGCCTAAATGTCTACCTCAGGACTCCGGGTTCCTCTGCAAAGGCGAGTACTTAAGGGTTTGGTGTGCTGCCCGAGCTCTTAATTGGATCCAACCCTGTAATTTGTTCCATAATAGGATGACCCAGCAGGATTATTTACAGCACAGCATGAAAGCAAACGCCAAAGAAGTGACAATGCAGCAGTACAAAGTTGTATCGATTGCATAAATTGCCTCATTCAACAGCCTTAAGCTGACTATGAATATTTCAGTGTTGTAGCTCTCTTCAGTTTCACATCTAATGTGTTTCTCGAGTAAACAAGAGATGCTTGGGAAAGCCTTCCTCCCTTAATACAAAATAAGACATGGATTCCCACAGAAAGCTCAGGAGCGATCAATCAGAGATTTTAAAATTAACTGAGACATAATGGAAGACTTATAAAACACATCTTCAAAATAATTCTGTAATAGCCTGATGGGTTTATTCCGCTGAATTTAAAGGAGGTAATTTTTTTTCAAAATATAATGCCACTAGTACTAAGAAAAGGTTACTGAAAATCCTGTGATACTGAAGGAAAATGAAGCTTCAAAAATGGCAGTGTTCAGGCGGCACCAGCATTTTGCTGTGCTACAACTGTGCCCAAACAACCAAGAACTTAACAACGGGTTCCAGAAAAGCTGTGGCAAATTGCTGCTCGATGTTTCAGCATGTTTCTCTACTGCTTTTAATTTTGTGTAACGGTGTGGCATAGCTTTGAGAGCCAATTACCAGCAAGGACCTCCCTCACAGGTTGTGCCTGGGGATGAGACAAGCAGGCGTCCACCCTAACAGGGCACCCGAGGAACAAGGTCTTCCCTAGTAAACAGGCAAGGCGTGTACAACATGCCATCCGTGTGTGTAACAGCTGTGAGAGTGTCTCTGCCACCCAAGCAGATGCCATGGGTGCTAAAACTACTTTCTGAGTGGAAAGTTATTATTAGCAGCCCTCTCTGCAAGGGGAGAGAAGAGGCTGTGCAGTCAGACACGATGTGACTTGGTCAGTCACACGACCAAGTCCACACATGCTGGAGACAACCATCTGTAATGGGAAGACAATTTTCCTCATAGACTTTCTGGCTAATTTTTTTTTCATTTCTTGATAAAAAATGTTTATATTACAGGCAGTTAGACTTCTCAGAACTTAAAGACAAATATTTGCATATTCAGATCAGCCCAGGGTATGCGTGACCATAGACAAAGTGCGACCCAGAGAAAACCATCAGGAGTGAAACATTTTGAATTAACCTCTGTTTAAGGCTTGAATTGTGAGAGATGCTGAGAGCCCAGATCATATATCCCAATGTTCAGAAATCAGCTCTGGAAACATTTAACTGAAAAATTTCTATCTACCTCTGTCCAGAAAACGGGACTGATGATACAGAAAATCTTAAAACTTGTAGTCACAAGCATGCTATATAAACGCCAGCTATTACCATGAGCATGTCTGAAGCTGGCTTGACACTGCACAAGTAGCAGACTACACATCACGATAAAAAACTTTCCAAAGGAAACATTCAACACTGTCAGGAAAAGAGAAGTGCTAGCTTCTTGCTACCTACAGGGGAAACATGAAAATCCTCATGGTCCAGCAGCCAACCACATCTCATACTCCAGTGCCTGGAGAGCAAAGTGCCCCAGAACCAGAACTGACATTAAATACAAACAGC